ACTTAACTGCTTCTTCATGGACACGGTTTCTTATGCTTCAGAAAAAAGATTAATAATTCTTGTCTAAAACTTACTACTCCCTCCCGATGAGCGCCCCTCGGCAATGTTCGGTATAACGAATTTTAATGTCGCAAAGAAGGGCTCCGCGTGCTCCAGATTTCGGGTGCAGCAGATTTTTTTTATTTTTTTATCGAAAGTGCAATGTTTAAGAATTTTTTTGGCGGAGAGTTTGGTTTGATACAGCAATTCCATTGGGCGTGGGAAATTTTTGAAAAGAGCATGAAAAAAATGTTTCAAACTCTCTCAATAACTGAAAAATTGTCCGATTTACATTCGGTTTGGACAGGGTAGCTTGTTTTTTGGCGTAAAATTGATTTCTGAAATAAAAAAGTAGGGGTGCCATTTGAAAAGTTCGACTTACGGGTGGGGCACCCCCCGCCCCGCGCCCCTCCCGCGGTTTGGGAAAATGTTGAATACGCCAAAAGGTGTCCCCCTTGATATAAACGAACACGTGTTTTACCGTTTTTCGAAATTCCGACGCGTTCGGCAGATATTCAAGGTGGCTCGTTTTTCGTGAGACACCCTGTATGTATTGATAGTGATTTGCGGGATTGACGAAATGCCCATCACGAAAGATCGTGTTAAAGAAAAATGCATTTGAAGTTTTCAGCATTACTTCCTTGCCACTAACGGTGATTAACATCAAAAATAGGAGTCCGATTTCTGATGTAAGAAACCGTCAGTGGCAAGGACGTACATTTGGAAATTTCAAATTCATTTTTCTCTGACGGCTTTCACTTCGGGCTTTTTTTCCGAAAAAATTCGATCGGATTGTTTACTCCTAGGGGGATTTCTAGTCGGCATCCATTTATCGTTCAGGTCCGACTCGATACATAATCTCCCGGGTGCGCAGTCGCCGGACTGTTCTGAAAATCAGGATAATCCCCGATACGACTCAATATAAAAAATGCAGATTTCTCAGCGCGATGTGGCAAACGCGCCCGGGTGCGTGACCCGACTATCGACATCATCACCTAACGGAGACGCAATACATCTCGACTGGAGTGCTGAGGAAGAACGCCGTATGAACATTCGAGAGTTGCCAAATTTCCCTTTTAGTAAAATATGTAATTTTGATGACATTAAGGCACATTTTCCATTGAAATTCTCAGATTTTTTAGACAAAATTGCGCACAAACTCGTCTGAAAATTTCGGGGGAAAATGTTCACGGATTTCCCGGTAATTTTGGTTTTTGTCGAAGGAAACTTGGCAACGTCTGAAGGCTCATACGGCGTTCTTCCTTAGCTCGGCGGTCGAGCTCCCCGGTGTCTTCCGCGGCGACACAAAGGAAAACACTCAGGCCGGGCGGGGCCGGGAATAAAATAGTTGCGGGGCATTTGAAAGTTGGGTCATGAAAAAAATCTTATCCGGCTGGAATATTTCACATAAAACGGCGGATAAATCGGTGCCCATCTCGCCAGGTCGCACAGTGGACCTAGAGTCCCTTTATACTGAGAGTCAAGACAATTCGGCTCATGGATGTCACAAACGGGAATAAAGATTACAGAAA